CATAGGCCCTCAAAAAATCACAGAAGTTGAACGCATTATCTATTGCCTTGGTATACCAAACTTGCTACTTTCATCAACAACTCTCAGAAGGCTTTAAGAAGATTTACCACAAGCTTCTCACCCTCCAGTCTCTACTACTTACATCTCCTCCAGTCTAGGTGGCTTGACAGGAAGAAACAAAGAACAGTTCACATGCTACTCTGCAGACTAGCATAACAGCACAAAACCTTTAGAGTCACAACCTCATTCGAAGAACTTTGAAGGATTAAACACACTCCGTTGTAAAACTAGGGAGAAAAACCATCAATCAGATCACTGCTTTGTAAGTGGTGAAGGACCATGAAATCTGGAATTGGACCGTGTTACAGAAGTGTGTACAGTAATTTACAGTAAAGCAAGCTTAACACTTTCTCCCTCTCCCCATCAGCTTCCAATCTTGAAGTCCACCTCAAGTACCTTGGAAACAATTATCTCAAATCTCAGTGGGTTAACAACTCACTCCTAGAAGGTAACAAACAATATTGCTAGGTGATGAAACATCCAGCCAACCTGCTTATCCCAGGTTTCACCATACCATCTCTGTCACCTTCTCAAGTAGTTAGCAGTCTTGAACGGTGTACTTTTCAATCCAGTTGCGCAGTCAAATATAAACCTCTGCACACTACAAACTGAACACAAGGCAAACACACAGGATTTTTTCTGCTCCAGAATTTTAGGAAAGACAGACTGCATAACAAAGTATACTATAACTTGTTAGAGACTTATTTATTAGGGAAGATTTTTACCTCAAAAGAAAAGTCCTTGTGAATGTCAAAAAGCAAAGCAGCTATACATAATCTGTCTTTACTAAACAGATTTCACATCCTCATGCCTTTAGTTACTCAAAGAAAGTCTCTTCCAGCAATAACCATCTTAAGATTTTTTTTTTTTTTTTGAGTGAAACAAGTAGCTTTACATTACTGTACTATGATGCCTTTCCCTCTTATGGTACCCTGTTGTCACTTCATCCAAATGATCTTATGCAATAGCTCAACTTTAAGGATGAAGTAAGATCAAAAACATCTTTCCTCCTTAATCAAAGCATCTTCTTTAGTGAAGAACCAGTTGTACTCCACATCTTTCTCCACTTAATATTGGCACAATTATGTAAACAAATTCCAATTAGTAGCTGGAAGAGTGACACCCTCTCCACACAGCACTTCAGTTATTTCTGGTTTGTTTTTTTTGGTGGGCCATCCATAAATTCCTTTTAGAAGCACTGCTAAAACTTGCTCAGTGTTACAGTTTCATAGATATGAAATACCTCATATAACAGATACTTTGGGAACAAGTATAAACAGTTCCCAACACATCCCCATGAAACAGATGGGAGACACAGTAGACACCTTAAGGTCAGACATCTATGCTTAGGTAATGATAATATAGGTGCCTGTGCTCCCTCTACAATCAAAACAGATCTACCAGATCTGCCTAGCACAGTCAAAAGGAGCCTTGATAGCTGTTCAACTGATCATATGTAGGAAACCACACGTGGTGGTGAGCTGAACAGTTCTCTACGTCCACTGACCTAAATCTACATACCTGAATCTGGAACTTAACGTCACGCCTTCACAGTTAAAAATATATTCCAGAAAATCTGGGAGACAAACAACCAAGCTGAAAGTTTTTGAAATCTGAACACACACTTCCCTAAAATAATTTACCTACACACACACAAACATCCCACAACACAAGAAAATAGAGCCAGAGAGAACTATTTCAGCTATCTTTTTATTGGATGACAGTCAAGTCAATTTTGTATTTTGTCAAAAGTTATGCTTAGCATACAAGAACTATTCTTTTTTGATTTATCAAATATACTCTGAAAATTATTATCTGAAAGCAGGAAGACGCAGGAACACAATATACCTTTTATGATAAGCAAAGATAATTCTATTTTTTTCCTATTCCTGGAAATGAAAAGACTACATTCTCTGTCTTCAGAATCCTTTATTTAGACACAGCTTATTGATCTCCAGTGAGGTCTCAGGTAAGATTTCAAACAACAAAATAAGAAATTCAGTCAAATACCAGACACACTTGTAGTCTCCCTAGAACAGCTCAGAGTAAAAAATATGCAAAAAGAGTGCCAGAGAGGGATTCTGTCAAACAATTCTGAGAACAAGAATGAGTATAGCTGAAAAAAAAGTTCAATGTAATGTTTGGCCAACCTGTAAATTAAAAATAACTCTGTGTGCTCTTGGTGAATTTGATTACTCATTTGCTGAGTAATTCATCTTTTAAACTCTTTAATTGCTTAAAAGATCTTTTAAGAAGTCAATGCTAACATACTAAAACATTGCTAGCTGATCATCATTTGATGATCATAAAACACAGTTGAACTTTAACTCCCTAAGTAGACAAAAAGCAGAATTTTTCCCATCTTACTTTCTGATGTTACTTCCACAAGTACAGTAAATCCAGTTTAGATCTTTATCACAACAATGTCTATATTGGAATACAAAACACAACTTCCAACCTATAACCTTGGTATTTGGAGTCATTCTAAGCAGTGTAAGTACTGAAGGGTTTCTAAAAACTCCCTGAATAGTCTTCACTTTGATCTGGGCAAGACCTAGAGCTCTGCAGCTCTGTGTACCTGAAGTTAGATTTTGTCCAAGACCGTGAACTAATGTTAGAAGACTAGAATCTGTTTTTAAATCAAAATACACCATGGATTTTTATTTAAAACATTTAGTACGAAGTACCAACTTATCACACTTAGCTAACAAACAACATTTACCTGAACACATTTGACAAACATTTGCCATCTATACAGCCACCTATTTTTTTCCTTGCCCTCTCCAGAAGGGGGACATTTCCTCTAGAATCAGCCACTCTTTACATTACCTTTTGGTCTACCCACTAAGGTATAAAAGGTGTTCTTAACACCAAAATGTTGAGTTACTTACTGAGAAATTTAATCCTCACCTTCGCTGAGCAAATAAAGCTGCATTTTTCTCAATATTCCTCTTTATTCTTGCTGGTATTCAATTTATTTACATTTTCTTTTCCTACATATGAAAAATTGCAGCACTATTTTTGTCTAAGTACATAGAAATAGAAAACTTCTATTAATATAAATATAGCCTAGTTCACCTTTTCCCCTGAAACCATGGCTTATGGAAGATCCTGGACCCACCTGGAGTTCTAGAAAGAAGGAACTCTCTAGGCTTAAGTACCAACTCTTTCATGAAATCCTTCTATGTCACTTCAAAATGCAACTGCAGTTGACTACACCAAATTACACGTGTTTCCAAAGAAATAAATGGAGAACTGCTCATTCTCAATTTGTAGAGAATGCAGTAATTTTCTATGTATTTTCTAGTAGGCATGACATGATCCTGACTACAATTCTATTTCCAGTCAAAATATACCAGTAATTAAGCACCTAGACAAGTTAGATAAAGTCTAACATTTTCCTGAAAAGTGTAGCACAGTTTGCCACAATTTTCTGCCCTCTAGTCCCTATATTTTAGAAATTCTAAAATTAACTGTCAGAGACTAAAATTAAAGTTTCTCTTAGTTTCAAAGATCCCTCTGTTACATCATAGTTACACGAAAACCCAACCAAGTAAAATGTGAGAGAGACCCTCTCTTGGGAAGAGACAGACAAGAAAGAGGAGGAAAATGCTTTTGCAGAAGTTAACAGTGCAAACAAATGCAAGCACATTTGGAAGTTGTGAGGTTCTTAATTTTATTTTTAATTACTTTTTAGGATTAAGCTGGCAGTTCCAAGCAGCACTGATTTGATACAACGAAGATAACCAGCAGCAAGGCACCTTTCCAGCTATGTCTGCCCCAAAGCATGGTAGTCCTCACCTTTTTTACCCATCATGTCAAAAAATTACGTACTAAAATTTTTTTGCAAGCCAAATAGTTTGTTTCTAACTGTTAACTTCTAAATTTTCATACTTCAAACAGTAGAGAAAACGTTCACAGCACTGACTGTACTTCTGTCTAGACAGTGTATCATCATTTAAAAAAATTTCAATCCACTTTCAAAAGTTTACATTGAAAAGTATGCATTAGCAATAGGCACTGTAGAAAAGCCTGCACTATACATGATACTAAAATTTACTAAAATTATGTCAAACATGAGGACACAGTACAGAGTACATTCTCCAAACAGAAGCATATTGAAAATTTCATGTTAGGACAACTAGCAAAGAGACTCTTAGAGTAATACTAGTCCAATACCCACTGATGGTTGAAAAAACAGCATCGTGTATTTAGGGCTTTTCCAGCTACAAAAACTCTTCTTACCTAGTCATGAATGGATTAGTATACCTAGAGGTTTTATTGCTTGTAGCAGAGATAGCAGTATCTGAATAGAGTGACCTTTGTTTTCTACACATTTTAATAACATCCTTTATATGAAAATTTATTTTTACTGTATCTTACTGACAAGCTTGGAACAAAGAATTACATTTGAAATAACCATTCTAATGTGACACAGTTTTGCTAAAACTGTGAAAGTTTAGAAGTGCAAAAATTAAACACTAAAATTTCAGCCAAAGACTGAAATGGGAAACAAGCCTTTGTGGTAAACACTAACATATTCATGTATTCATGCAATTTAGAAATGTACGTAGAACAACAGCCATCTGTGTGATAATTTCAAATCATGACTTCTGGTGACATCATAAACCATAAGCTGAAAGAATCCTGCCACTTGCACTCAAAGTACACAAAAATAAAGTTATTGGCTATCTCTCATTTTTCAAGAACTTCAGTGCATTCTGCACCAATCCAACTTCAAGCATTTTGACATCAACTGTCTACAGAAGTAAAGTTTCATACATATTAAGCATCATCAATTAATCATTCACGTGACAAAATAGCACATTAAGGAGAAAAATGTTCAACAACAGTTATTTGTACATTACAGGAAAATCTATATAAAACCAGAAATTCAATATAGAAGATTTGCTTAAAACCAAATAAATACTAAATTTTACCTTTTCTGGATTGTAATATAAAGATTTCAAAGTGGTAAACAAGGGTGGGCAGCCTTTACTGAAGTTAACCCTCAGGAACTTATCCATTAGTTCTCTAAATTTTTCACCTGGAAACAAAAGTGTATTTGGTTATATGTCAGTGATTGCAAGTGTTGTATAAATATAAGCACTAATTGCTGTGCCACTCTGGATAATTGAGTAACTGAGAAACTGCAATTAAGGGTTTTCATCTTTCCTGTTGTTTGAGAATAAGATGCTAATATGCTCTGGATTGAAAAAAGATCAGAGATGCTTAAATTGCTGGTGCTTAAGAGACTGCTGATGAAGACATGGTAACAATCCTCAAACTTGTAAAAGTTATTAAAAAGAGCAAGTATTAAGGGCTGGCTACAGAGGATGTAGCAAGGGCTATTTAAACAAACATTGGAAAAAATATAATGGTAAGAATAACTAAGCACTGGAATGGATTACCTTGGAGATCTTGTAAAAGCTCCATCATTAGAAGTTTTTATGATTAAGTTAGACAAATGTGTGTTAGGAATAGTGCAGATTAAATTATCCTGCTTTGAGGAAGAAGGATGGATGAAATGAACCCTCTACCTCTCTTCTAGTCCTATTTTTTTTAGGAGTAGGACATGACTTCCGATGATAATATGATTGTTTCTGGAATCAGAAACAGAATAGAAGACTGGGTTTCAGAAGGATAAGCACCATATCAGAATCATCTATATCAAAATATACTGGCAGAAAGCTAAAAGTCTGACTTAATTATGTTTTCAGGTCAAAATTATAGTAATTGTAGTATGCCACCTTTCCAAGAAGTGTTGCTTCAAAAAAAAAAAAAAAAAAAAAAGCAGGACTTCAAAGAGAAGATATCCAGTAAGGAAATCATAGCTGGCTTTCGTGTTCTTATGCCTAAGATGAGAAGTGGTTATTTTCAGTCATTTCAATTTTGGTTTTGTTTGGGTTTGTTGTGGGGGTTTTTTTGTGTGTGCATGTTTGGTTTTTTTAATTTTTTTCTGGGTTTGTTTGCTTAACATAGGGATGAAGTTGCTATACTTCACTGATCTGCTGTGGACTCCTCAAAGTCTTGAGACAAGGAAGTAGTACACTTCACATAATGCTAACATATACATTAAAACTGTTGAAATAATCAAATTTGTTAATGCATTGTTAATGAATTGAAGTTTAACAGTGGTTTCTAGATATTCAGAAAATAAAGATACTACTGCTTTTTATGTAACATTCTTCCTTATGTATTTTTACCAATTCTTAATTGTCCTACTCTTACTATTATCAGCACTGTTACTGAGACTAAAATCACCTGTCTTCCCTTGCTGTACTAAAACAAACCGCTAGAAACTCTTACTACCTGTGGATGAGGATCCATAACTGGACTGTAAGTACATGCTTTATTACAGGTGGATTAATTAAAACTTGCTTTCTCACACCACAAGAAACTCCTCTATGTGACAAAAAAAATATCCATCTCAATTTCTTCTGTTGGATTATTCTAATTTATATCCTTGATGGAAGAATTGTAATTCAGAACTTAGCAAAGCAAGATTCAACTTTCCATTACATACATATTTATTTATAGAATGCAGAACAGCTTTAAACAAAGCCTCAATGCAAAACATATAGCTAGGCACCCACCTAAGACATGAAGACAAGCTCAAAATTTAGTCTGATGCACAGAAAAGACCTAACCAGTCTTTCACTGGAACAGTGAATCCATAACAGCATAAACAAATCTAAAACTGGAAGGCCAGACTTCAACCCCTCATCCTTGATCAGTCTGAAAATTAATTGTAACACCTTCCTCCACAGAGGTGGTTTCCATCTGGATGAAGGAGCTGATCTGTACCAAATACAAGGTTATGAAGATGCAGCGCATGGCAAGGTCTGGGAAGGGCTGCTCTTTTCATACAAACCTGCACTTTACAGTATTTTAAGACAATTCTGAATCAGCCAGCATCGGTTGCAAGCAACTGGTCAGTGACCACCCTGGAACAGCAACCTCATTTAACCTCTTGAAATTTGCTAATATATTTCCGCAAAAAAATTCCTTTCTACACCTTCACATTCTCACTATTAACTTTTGCCAACAGGATTTCTCAGCTGCTGTACTTGTGAATGCAAGAAATCATTTAGTAAATAGATGTAAACCTAAATAGATCAAAACCAGTCTTACACATCTATGACCGATACAAGCTTAATAGATTAATCGAAACAAACTTTAATTCAGGAAAATTCTTCTTCGCTATGAAACACATGGTTTTTCTTGACTGATTTAATAATTAATTTTGCTTTCATTTAGAGTATTGCTATAGCAGGAACAACTAATCCTTATTACCAAATATACTTCTATTTAAATGAACATTAGCTGTGAAAGTACACTGTAAGATGTGATAAAGTAACTTAGTGCAAAACACAGTGAAATTAAGACAATAGCAAACCACATTTATTAATAAAGATATGGAAGAGCATTTTGCAGGTTATTTCCTTGTTTGCTATATATTACCATAAACAATTTTACTATGGGACAAAACCAATTACTTGTCACCTAGCTTCTCAAATTTAGCCGAATTGCCTTAAAATTTGCCCTTGTATCTGCAAAGAAACTGAAATATCAGGAATTAAGTAAGGCACAAGTAACTTCAGGGCTAAATCTCTTATGAAGCAGTTAAAATCTTGCTATTTTCCAGGAGGAAAAGTCTATGCACATTCAGACTCTTGAGCAAGAAGAGAAAAGTGGATAGCTGTGCTCTGTAGCGTTTAAAGATACAACATATTTGGTGCTCAGTAAATGAGCTAAACTAAAAACTAACCTCACGAAATTAAAAGCATGAGCAGGTGTGTTGGGAATTTGCAGCTGAACTTAAGAATTTCATGACACTTAGATATCTAACTTACATACTTTATATTTCTTTCCAAAAGTTTTCTACTGGAGTTGCAGTTAGACAGCTATATACCAAGTGTATATTTTTATGGGATTTACCACTTCATTTAACCTCCTTCCTTACACTTTTTTAAAACAGAAAGCTATGAGCTTCCACAGTAGATCTCCTCAGTTCTGGAAAGAATATGTATTTGTGCACTGTGTTTCAATATAAACTTTTGAAAGGACAGTCACTGAAAGAGCTTAGCTATAGAATTATAAATAATTTGTGATACATAACATCGCAAACTTGCTTTTTGTTCCTATTCTTATTAAATTATCAGCACAAAGTTAGTTTATGTGGTAGATTTAAGTTCTAACAGTTGTAACCCAGCAAGATATTCAGTCACAAAAAGATGTGATGTTTTCTGCTACATCACCAGTACAAAAACTGTTAGGAAGAGCATCGGTCCTATGCTATTGTGATTGTTACATGCATAATTTACACCTAGTTTCAGTGTTTATAAATTATATTATAAAGTTAGCTTTTATATATATATGTATGTATGTATATTAAAAGTATATGGGTGTGTATACACATCCCTACACCTTTCATTCAAGTGTAATTCAAATCCTTTTAACTTGCGATTCTTAACTTGCACGATGCAGAAAAATTACGTACAAGAATTCCTACAATCTATACACCAATCTGTTCTGTAGTTTTATCCATACAAACTTTACATGGTTTGTATCACCATATCAGAATGCATGAACTTTTTCAATCAACTAAAACATAACAAATATTTTTGTCTATTCCAACAGAAATGTGTCTGATATGTGTACATGTACAAATAGGTATTAAATGCACATTCAACAGCCTGAGGAAACTTTAAAAAAACCAAAATAAAGACTATTAGAGAACAGATATGCAACTTGTTACCTGAAACAAAGTTTAAAGGTAATCTTCTAGGTGAAACTGCTCTGGGATGTCTTTTACTAACTTCTTCATAAATCTGAAGCCTCTCTTCTAAAGTGCCTATTACCAGTAAATATAATAAATATAAGTAACAGATAAAAATCTATTCTTCTAAGTGTTTTTAAATGTTGACAATTCATTTAGCTAGACTTCTCATACAGTTTGGATTTGGAACAATTTAAACATTTCAAACTACTTTTTCCAGTTAATCATAAACATTACTGTGTAAAACTGTATTGAAGACACACTGTATGTACAATACACAACTACCAGCATTAATCACTACAGATAAACTGCAAACAGAACAATTACCTTGCACATTCAATCATACAGTATTACAGTTTGGTTTCTTTCAGTTACATGCTGTGCAGATCCATTCACACAGTAGTCTGGCATTCATAGCTTCAATTAACTGTTTTTCACTATGCATCTGTTTCAGGCATACTTAAAGCATTCAGAAAAATATATTGTGCTTCTAAATCATAGGTATACAAATAGCATACTATACAAGCATGCCTTTATTATAAGTCCCCTGGTGGCAGCAAAAACAGGGCACAATACTGCTAGTGTAAATACTGAGCACCAGAACTCTCTATACCTTAATGTTTAAGTAGCTTTATTTTTGTTAAATATTTTCTTCCCACTCCTCCCCTTTCCCCCATAATATGCTTTGGAGCTCCAATGTGGTTAGAACTTAAATAAAACTAATCTGTTGCTTTGAAATGCCATTTTTCACATAATTAAGATCAATTTTGCTTAAATATTAAATTCATCAAGCACTTTAAATAAAACTGAATATACAGATTAAGACTATGACACAGCATATATTTAATAAATATATGTTTTCCTTTCAGAAAGAAAAACAATTTATCTCGTCACTGAGCTCAGATGTTGGGGAAGGGGGGGGAATATGTTACCCAGTGGCTCCAAGAGATGTAGAGTTCTAAGAGTTATACTAAAATAATGTTTGGATTGGAACTAAAGCATATAAAAGCCCTAATCGAAGTCACAAGTTGGAGCTCCAGAACTTACCATGGGGGAGGAAATAGTCCTAAGACCACCTAAAAAATAAAGTAGCATTATTAGTTTTATAAATTAGTACAGCTTTAATCTACATAGGATTTTAATATGTCAAATAAATTACTGGACTGGTTCTTTGTTAAGAGCTACACATTATCATCAACATATTTACTACATCAAACAGAATAATCACATTCTTGGGTAATTTTATTTTCTAAGACAATAATCATGATGTCCAACTCTATGCATACAGTAGAAAAACCATTTAAAGGGCAACACTGCTCTCTGTATAAATGTAACAAATGCAATCATTTTCATTTTCCAATCACAAGTCACATTCCCAGACCTTATGAAACCCAACTGTAAAACTTTCTAGAAGAAAACTGGTTGAGAAATATAAGGCAGCTATAATATCTACAAATAATATCCTTGTGGGCTTATGATTTATGATGTCATCAGAATAACTCAAATAAAACTTCCACCAATTAGTGAACAGTGAAATACAAGGAAACCATTCCTGTGTAAACACTTGGGAAGTTACCACTGTAAAACACTTACTACAAATTGTTGCAATATTGTAATTTAAAAAAAGAAAATATTAGCTATTTTCCTGGAAAGACAGAAGAGCAGTAATGTGAATTAGCATTGGAATAACAAAGATTTTATCACATTTATCACCTTTTCCTCCAAAGAAAAGTCAGCTTTAAGTTTTGGGTTTTTTTTTCCCCTCAGATGGCCTATCTTTAAAAGGTCATCTGAAATAGATATTTGGGTATTTCTCTACGTACGCATCGAAAGAGGTTATTACCTAATCAAGTTCCAGAATGACAATTTTATGTTGCAGTGTATGATAGTCATCTGGCAATCAACTACTAGATAGGAATGAATTGCAATTTGGTTTCCAAGTTCACACGTGGCAAGGAAACGTTCTTTGTGTAAGCATGTTAACAAATGCCACCTTTAGGTCCAAGAAGAGAAAGACTTGCTGTTGGTATTTTCATGCATGCAAGCTTTCCAGTGAATGTTTTAAAAAAGGATAAACTATATCATATTCAAGATTAGAAGGTACATATTTTTCTGCCAAGTAAAGCTTTTTAACCTAAGTAACATCAAACAGGCATTTTAAGTATATTCTACACCACGCGTATTTCCAATGTATTTGTGTATGTTAACTTACTAGGTTGTAGGGCCTTTTCCAAGCCTTCATAATAATGCCAGTTCTCTGCATTACGCTCAATTAATTCTTTGAATACTTCACCAGCTTCTTTCAGTCTTCCCAACTTCAGTAACATCTCTCCTAAAAACAGCGCAGTAAAGAACTGTGAATTACATGAGAAAACACTGATGGCTTGGGAATAAAGTTACAAAACTAGATACATAAAATTAGGCTTAATCTTATGTAGGTACTTAAAAAGAGGCTTTATTTTCCCAAAAGCATTTACTGTGTATTAGAAGTGCTACTTGAAGCTACCACCCATATAGCTCAACACAATTTGGAGCATTCTGCACCTGTGAAAACAAAGATTATTTGAATGTCTGTATCCGAGTATTTAAAATAGCTACTGGGATTATCAAAGAAACAAGCAACTCTTCCTTCCAGGACTGCAACACATGACTATCTTGCTTCTGTTTACTTAACTACACCTTTATTTTTCCACACTAACCAACCAGTTTTTAACCAGTTAAATCACACAGGTTTGCTACTAAGTTGTTCTACCATATCTGGCTTGCCCATACAGTGCTGCATTTCAGAATGTGACTGAACACTGATAACACCTATGTTTTTGCTACTAGAGCATCAAGGATTTCTGTTTTTACCCCTGCTCTGCCACACAGCAAGCAGGCCAGGGTGGGCAATAAGTTGGGAGAGGACACAACCTGGACAGCTGACAAAGTGGACAAATGGATATTTTATGCTACATAGTGTCATGCTTAGTAATTAAAATTGAGGGGAAGGAGTGTTTGGGCAGGTGGTCATTGCTTGGAGACTAGCTGAGCATCAGTCTGCTTGTGGGAGGTGGTGAGTGATTGCCTTTGCATCACTTTGGGATCTGTGGTTTCTTCCCTTCCTCTTTCTTTCACTGAAGCGATCTTTATTTCACCTTATTAGTCTTCTTGCTTTTGCTCTTCCTATTCTCTCCCCTGTGCCAGCAAGGGAGGCTGAGGGAAGTAAGCAAGTAGCTGTGCGGGGCTTACCTGCTGGCCAGGGTCAACCCACCACAAGTGCGCAAGGAAGGAGCAGTAGAAGAATACATGCTACTACATTATGTAATTGTGCATATTCAGAACTCAGTACTTCAAATCCACAAAGCAATTGTGGGTTATTTTTAAAGAGTGAACTTCAGTATGCACTTAAATAGGGCAATAAAAGTAAGTGCATTAGAAAGCTTAAGAAGCAAAGAAAAATTTGATGCTTCAGTCAAAAAAAAAATCTGCATTTGTACTACAAACAAGTATTCTTCATGAAATTAAAACTGGGTTATACTAGCTCTGATTTATGGAAAGCTACTCTAGTACGCAACAATATCATAATCTGAGATCTCCTCTGTTCCTGTGTCAGCCCAAGTAAAACTACCTGCATCCACCACTTTGGTAGGGCAAGTTACTTGAGCACAAAATTCTAAGTCTGGTGTTACTAGTTTCCCTATAGGAATTGTTTCAAATCAATTAAAGATTTCACATGTTTTTTTCTTCTACCGCTTTATCATATCTGAAAGCCAGTAGCAAAGGTTTAGAACAAAATTGGCTGAGGGAAGAAGAATGACTTACCTTTGATTTCTTCTACTATTAATTTATCACATATTTGCTTTTCATATGTCTCTATATGTTCTAAAGACTCCTGAAATAGATCTGCCTCTCTCATCACTTGATTTTGATATAAAATCAGTTCACTATATTCATAATCTATCTTATTAGGAGGAATCTGGGGGGGGAAAAAACAATAGGTTAGTTAACATTTACTTGTACCTCAACTATGTGCAATATTACAGAACACAAGATTCAGGCTACAGAATATATCAGGTCTATTTATATGCCCACCCAAACATTCAAACTGTAAAACTCTCATTATTCACAATCAAATTAGATTCATTCAGGATATCCTTTGTTAGAGAACAGTTTAAAAGAATGCCTGTATTTCTATTTTCTCTATCACTGTGGCAAGCTAATTAAAAACAGAATCCTTGCCTTCTTCCATACAATTCAATAAAATTTGCAAAGAACTTGGTAATCTTTTCCTTCTGAAGGACTCATGTAATCCACAACAATTTTTATCTACATTCCATGGCAGATCGCTGGGATATCACAATACTCATTTTCAACATACCAAAAATTCTAGATCAAACTATTTCCAAGAACGATGAACCACCCGAATGACCAAGCTGGCCATAGCTGGACAACTAGAATTTTTCAAACAGAAAACCTACACTATCTCTGTCTAACCAAGTATTCTCTGTACTACACTTCAACCTCCCGGAAAGTACAGTGCACAAGCATGCAAAGAGTGTCTTCAACACATAATTATTTTGAGGTCTGCTGCCATTTGCCTACCTAGGACTTTGTCTACAGGCTACAGAAAAACTAGTGGGTCATCCACCTTCCAGTAATACACCAGTCACTGAAACAGGACGACATTCAAAAGTATTCCTTTCTAGGGATAACTCCTAAAGTGCATTTAGGCAATGAAAAGTCTTGCCAGAATTATAAAAGTTATGTCATACTAAATGCTCTTCACTAATATGCACTGAAGCTACGTCAATTACAAGTAAAATGCAAGAATTTCAGAGACCAAATGCAGAAGCCTGCAGACAATGCCCAGCAGATCTATACAACAGTCTACTATGTGAAATATACTGCCTAAATAGAAATTGTAGGAAAGATTATAGTCTATATGATTTTTTTTAATAATAAAAATAGATAAGCAGCTGAGCTTGATAAATGTTAATGATTCTTTCCCATGACACTGCATACTTTGTTCCTTTCTGAGCAAGCAACACTTTGGAGTCACATTGGTCACCAAACAGTTTACTATTATTTTTCTGTTCCTTGAGTAAAGCTTTTCCTCTGTCTTCTTTAAAGAACTAAGTAATTTAATTAAAAAAGCCAAAACAGTAAATTAGTTGAAATTAATATTTGTATTAAAAAAATCTTGTCCTAAACCACTACTTCCAGCCCTTCCCTAAACACAGATCAATTTTACGATATTTAATGTATTTACATGCTCTTTGAATTTTTAGAGGCAGTTTTTATACTACTGTGAATTTTCAGAAAGAAGATTTCCTTTTAGATAGAAGTGTTCTGAAAGACAGCATAACTAAACATTGCTAAGAAGCGTATAACTGACAAGGAACATAGGTTTTGAGGCTGAAAGTAACAACATTCAAGAATTTTTTTTAACAACTGTTAACATATTATAACAAGTGATAACTAATGGAACAAGACTAGAGTCAGCAGGTAGCATGAAATCCTACCCATTTCTGAAAGTATATTTCCTCTATCTGCAGCTCCATTTCCATTTCCACCTTTGCTCAATTTTTATCCGTATTAAACACTGGAAGTCACTAATTAAAACATTATTACTTGGAAAGCATTTTTAACTGCTTCACAGAACTGACATGCAACAAGGGTTATGCGTTTAAGCATGTCTTCCCGCTTATGCTTACTGCAATACCACAGAACTGAAACTGCAGAGCACCGGTTTAGTTCTTTGTCCTTCACTTCCCCATAAAAATGCCCTCCCCTCCAATACAATACACATCTAAATTCCACAAGTAGCACAGCTTTTTGGCACATCATGAATTAGTTTTAGGCCTTCAAAACATAATTACCCCCAAAACCCTTAAAAACTTATATAACACAAGAAAACAGGCATCAATTAACCTTCTTGTAGCTCTTCTGGCTTGGTAGGACTAACAAAAGAAATTACAAAATGTCAAAAAAAAAAATCCAGTGAACTCCCTCTTTTACATAGGGCAAATGCACCAGAAAGATACTGCGCTTACTGTCATACCATTTAAAAAGCCATTTTTAAAAGTAATTTTAAGAGAAGTTCATTTTTTAAAGATATTTTGAAATCTCGCCAGGTTAATGTTGATTTAAACATGCAATTCATCAGAAGGCAAGCATCTTATAACCCCAGTGCTTAATCTGAATTATCAGACTGTCTTATAAAGACTAAGATATTCTATAAAAGGTTTTTTCCACGCCATTGCTATGGCTGCACAATACATCTTTATTCCTCCCTCCCAAAGAGTTATGATTCTTGCACATGAGATGTCCAACTTTCTCTTGAACTCAGTTCTGCTGTTTCAGAATAAATTTCTTCCTCTCCTGCACCAAAAAAAGAATCATCTTTACAACCATAGGTGCCCTAACATAACTGTCACTGAAAGAATGTGACAAGATGCAGCCAAAACATACCTAAGAGCAGACCCCCAAAACTCCAGAGGTTTTCTGTCCATATCTGTAATTGTGGGCCTGATGCAGAAATTAGGAATAAAATAAAAATTAAGAATAAAAATTTTGTTCTGGAAAAGAAGAAAGGGAAAATGGGACATACAACAGTAAAACAAATTGCATAGTTGTTTTACACCGTGGTTCCCAAAATTTAAATTCTTAAGTGACTCTTAAATCATTTAACTTGGACAGCACAGGTTGTCATATTTCCTGCAGTGATGTCTGCATTCAACCTCATAACCTGTTTTTGACCAAAATATGATGCATCTGGCTAATTTACAGCTTTCAGATGACAGGCAGTGTTGATCTGTATATACTAAGAGACAGAAAATTCACCATTTCCAATGATAACTTAGCCATTAGAATAAAACTGTCAGTGACAAAAAGATAAAAAGCAGTTTATCATTCGAATTTGTTGCTCAACTTGCTACCACCACTTGTTTCTTTACTTTTCCCCACTAAACAATCTTCCTAGCTATCATTCTTCCCCAAACCAGTATCTACATTGTACGTGAATCACCTAGTTTTTTCTGCTTTCAGCAGAGAATCTCTGCCTTTCACTAGACAGCATTTTCGCTAGTCCTCTCATCTTCCCATATTGTTCTTTGCATTTTCTAACTTTTTAAAAAACAGGGTCATCAGTAAGCATTGATCTCTCATTAATCAGTGCTCTATAGAGAAAATCCATGCTGCTTCTCAGAAATAAGGGTGTTTTTTGCTTTTCACCCACAAGTCTGCCCTGAAGAACAATTTTACAATAAGCCAAGGCAACCTAACTGTAACCTGGATCAACAAAGGCAGTCCACTTCCCTCTATTATTCCCCTTCCTCTTTCCCCTCTCACCTCACAGTTGTTCAGTTCAGCCAATCAATCCTTCAAAACAGTGATATTTTTCTGTCACTTTAGCTTCCTGAACCAGCCCTCCACGAGTCAACCAGTGCTGCACAAGGAAGCAGTGGGAGCACACAGGAAAAAGACTGCTGGCTTTGGCATCAGCTTTTAGCTAGATTAGCTCCATTATTTTGTAATACTCCTCCTTCAGATACTCACCTACAATCACTAAAATGACAGTTCCTTGATCTTTTTCTTAGTTTTACTGCTTGGTTTTGTCTGTGTTAATTCACATCTGAATGGACAGAGCTGCCTGAGTAATCCAAGTCAATGAGTATGATCACCCTACATCACCATTATTTACCAATTATTAGGACAGCAGTGTTTTACATAACATGTTAATGTTACATTTACTACCTACTTTATTAACAATAATGGTAAACAGTGTCAGGCCTAATACAGATTGCCATAAAACTCCTCAAAAACATCAGTTTATTGAAGATTCCCATTCACTAGTGATTTGGAAACCCTTCAGTCTTCCAACCCTCCTTTTAAACCCTGAAGAACAACTCCCTTTTATCACAGTCACATGCAATATTCTATCCAAGTCAGTCACAGAAGATTACCTATTGAGTTGGAGTGCATACAAAGTACAGGGCAAGAGGGGAGATTTGGAAAGTAAAGTAAGCAAGAAATGTACGTCCTCAAAGATCAATGGAGTATCCTGAACTCAACTATTTTAAGAGCAGGACTGTTAAATAACCAGAGACCACACAAACAGTACATTTGGGGACTACTGTAGAAGAGCCAAAGTGTGGCAAAATCGAGCTGTGAGTTTGCTTGGGCTCTCCTGACTGTTCTGGACCCAACAAATTGATTCTCTCTTCCAGTGGTTGGGGCTCTACAGAGGCCTGCACACCTCAGGAATCTAGCACAGCAAAGCACAAGACTATTTGCAACAGAAATGAAACTAAGGCAGTCATCCTTATTTTTAGTGTTTGGGGGAAAAAACACAACATACCACTTAACTGTCTCTACCAATCTCAAAAAAAGAGCGAAGGCTGGACACAACTAATTTTCTATAAATTCTTCTCCAAAATTTGTAGCCTATTTCTGTCCTTTAATGCTTAACCAGCTTTTCTACCATTTGTCTGAGACTGATATTATGCTGATCAACAGTTAAACAGCTCACTGTTCAAGTACAAACCATTTTCCTATTTATGAAAAGTTCCTAAATATTCCCAGTTTTACTAAAAAATGGCATCAGAGCTCGAGATCTTCTCAGGATTTCCTTTTTTAGGGTGAGACTTAAGACTGTGATAACTTGCACAGACTCAACTGATTTAATATGTTCATCAACGGCAGATGGTATTTAAATCTGGCTTAGTCACTAGACTGAAGAGCATATCATGACTGCCCTCAAACAAGCATATTTACACACAACCTTTTAGAAAAGACAACATTAAAATCATCACTTCCATTTTCTCCAAGGGGCCAATACCACTGTTAAGCCCTCTTAGTCCTTGAAAGAAGCTCAATTTCTTACAGTTCATTTGCAGTTTTTCCATCTATTATATATACTTTCTAATCCAAACAGTCACCGAACACAGATTGAGCTCCACTGACTCATTCAAGAACCATGACTTTTTGGCTGTCAAACACTCATAAAAGATGACCCAATTTTCACTTAAACTTACTGTTTTCAGTTTTTATTCAACAATGAAGTTACAGCTCTTTTGAAATGTCAAGTTATATATACCTGATTCGCAATTTCCTTTGTTTGACCATTATACATGATCAAGACACAAACACTCGTCCATCCTAGCAATTACTGATTTCCTTTCTTACAGTTAGTTCCATTCTGGCTGCCTAAGATCTCAAATGCAGTTCTCAGAAAGGATGTGAGATTTTTGTTTAAAACAGTCAATCTGTAGGTCAAGTAATGTCTTAGTACCTACACACAATACTTCCAACACATGTCCCAAGTTGAATGTTTCTATAAACATGATTTTTCTTTTTTCTTTCCATATTACAGAATAATCAACACATCCACTCTGTTCTATTAATTCAGACTTTTAGTTCTGAGTTAACAATAACAGAACAAGGAAACAGTCTCTCAAAAAAGGTTATACATAGTGATTTTAGCATTGTATCATTTTATTTACTCCAACAAGTTTCAGTAACACCAAATCTTCTCAAACAATTTTCAACTATGCTTTCACATTACTTTGACACCAAGCACTAATTTTAAGTGCATAATATACAGATGCATACAGGGCAATGAAGTAATGTCTTTTCACACTCTTTGTAGAGATGGAATGGCATCCAGGCTATGCCAGGAGAGAGGGCAAATGAGCACACCCAACACTAAATAGTATTTTCTGAAGTTTTACCTACTTACAGGGACAGGATCATCACAGGTTTTCTTTAGTTAAGTCTCACAAACATCAAGTTACTCAGTTACTCCACATCAGTCTACCTCTATATCCTCAACCCTAACAGCTTATTGCAAAGGGAAAAGGTATTCCTGTATAGCTTACATGAGCTGTTAATCTCCTAGAAATCCTTCTGCTCAAAGCAGAAAGCCCCACAAACAACAAATTTCTTCCTAATTCTCAACTAGTTAGTTCTTCCTAATTACAAAGAACTAATTCCTCAGATTCTGTCTCTTATAGAAAGTGTTCTCTTTCCAGAATAGGAAGTCTTACCTGTTGGGTCTTCCTAAACTCTTCAAGTAGTTTTAAGGCCATATCATAATCTTTTAGTAAGTGGTATGCAATGGCATATCCGATCCAGGAAGCCCGTTGTGTGGGGCGCAGCTGAAGTAGCTGGTATCTTGTCTCCTTCAGTAAAAGAAAAGCAATTTAAAAATAACACAGACCTTAAAGTTACTATGTTTTCATCATGATTTACCAGCACTATGGCTAATATTTTAAAAGATCTCTTAAAAGCCCTAAGCAATTTTTTAAGTTCTAACAGCATGGGGAAAAGTAGCATGTTTCTGTCTCATAAATCTGGGGGCTACATTCTCAACATAGGAGTCATGGCACAAAGCATAAAAATCTATTTGTTGCTAGACAAAAGGTGTCATTTTCAGGAGTACCTCTTAAGAGCCTAAATTATTTCCAAAGATACAGCTTTGGAATCTCAGAGAGGGATTTCCATTAGAAAGTGTGATCTCACCGCCTGTGAAAGAGCAGTTCCACTCTCCTCATGCCCTGGCAATAGGTCCTTATGCTTACACTGCTGCAGTGCTTCTCAGACCCCCTTCCCAAGTCACATCCCTGAGTCAGTCACTCCCTCTTCTTCCATTAGCAAAGTCAACATGTGCAGTGAAGATGACACACTAATGCTGAAACCCACAATCCAGTCTTTTACTTCACATGAAACAGAGGATGGAAGAGCAGGATTTCCTCTTTCACAGCCAAATCAGTTCAGCCATTTTGAAACCACTAACTCCGGTTTTAGACAAAATTGCAAGGTTTTATTTATGATAAAATCAGTATTGGGATTCACAAAAAAATCCACCAGTCATCATAGGGCAAGTTTCCCCACACACTCAAAGAATCATGATATGCGTATTTTTCACCAAAAATACCTTCAGTATATACACCCAAACCACCATTTGCAGTACCTCACAATAGCACAGTAAGTAGTCCTACTTGCTAAGCTTTATCCTTTTTATGTTCATTATTTTAGTGAAAAATGAGTTGAAAACTAGAGTTTTACAAGGTGATCCGCAAGTCAAATTGTACAGAATAACTGTACTTGTAGTTCTGTTCTCAACATTATATGGAGCCCTGCTGCAATACATTTTCATGCTTTCCTAAACAAGAGCTTAAAACACTTTCTACTTTGAAATAGCAAAACCACGTAGCAATAAAATTGCTAGCAATAAAAAACTTAATAATGGAATTGAACAGCATCAGAATACCAACAGCAATAAATTGGAATTCAAAGAGAATACTTACTCTATATCCTTCTAAATCCCTCATCTGAATCTGCAACAGCGAGAGATCTCTCAAGATCTGTAGATTATCTTTATCTAGTTTGAGTGCATTCCGGTAACACTTGATGGCTTCATCGTATTTCTTATCAGAACGTTGCAAAAGACCATAGACGTGCCAACCTAATGCTTATTAAGGAAGATGCATTCACAATTTTTAGAAAGTAACTGCAGTACATTTGTGTTACAGACCAAACAACTTGACATCTTCCTTAAGATCAGCACCCTTATAAATTAAGTTTTATTACCACAGCCAGGCTTTACTGACACACATTTTAAAATATTAAATGCTTCCAAATAAGCAATAGTCTTATTTTAAAGTCTTCTGTTAAGGCACATTCACACACACCCCCCCCCCCAACACCCCCTCCCAAAACAAAAACACAC